CTTCCTGCAGCCAAGTCCGGCCTCTGCGAAACGCGCAGGCGCAGCTCGCCCAGCGTGCCCGGCCCGGTCCGCGAGGCTCTGCGCATGCGCACACGTAGCCCGCAGGCGCCCACCACCTGGCGGCGCCGCTTCCCTCCACGCCCGCTCCTCCCAATACCTTTGTCCAGTTCCATGAGGGCAGAGTTAGCATCCAGCTCCTGTTCGCCATAGCCGGCGTCTGCCAGGAAGGACTTGGTGGAATTGGACGCCATGGCCCCGAAGAGTTCCTCGGCTAGCCCTTGTCAGAAAGGTGGCACACTCAACCTCCGAACCGCCATCTTCTCCCGCCGCGGATTTTTTTTTTTTTCCCTCCGCATACGGGAGCCAGCCGTGTTACGCATGCGCCCTGGCCACCGCGCGGTTCGCCGGCGCCTCTGCGGGGCCCCTCGCGCAGGCGCTCAAGCAGCTCTTGAAGTCCAGGTTCCCGCGGCTGGGAGAACAGGAGGCGGGGATTCCGAGGGGGACGTGACTGTGAGGCGCCGGGACGCCGCGCCGGCAGCCAATCAGAGGGTGTGACGTCAGTTTGGCGCGGAGTTTGGCGGCTGGGGCACCCAGTGGCGGGAGTTGGAGGCAAAAACGAGTGGCGCTGCGAGGGGCGCCGGCTTCGGGTTCTGCCGGGCTCGGGGTTGGGGGGCGGGGATCTTTCCGGCTTCTCTCTCGGCTGTGGCTTGTTCTCCGGCCCAGATGCTCTTCAATTCGGTGCTCCGCCAGCCGCAGCTTGGCGTCCCGAGGAACGGTGGGTAACGGTCTGTAACCGCTGCTGCTCGCGGGCGGGACTCCTCCCCGCCCCCCCAGCCCCGCACCGCCCCGGATCGGGGCCGACCCCGAGCCTCGGCTCCCGGCTGCCGAGGCCTCCCGCGGCCGCCGAGGACCGGGGATCGCCCGGGTGGGCGGCCGATCCCCTCCGGGGCGGGGGCACTTGGGTGTTTTGTTTTCATCGCGGTCGGGGTGGTTTTATTTTATTTTTATGTATTTATTTATTTATTTATCTTCGCGTCGCGGGCTAGGCCGAGGGAAGGAGGGACGGAGGCCGGCCCGTATGGCTTACGTCTGCACCGCGCGTTCGCTGGAGCACGGCCTGCCATGTGTTCTTCCCCCGCGGCTGCGGGAGGCCGACCGCGCTCGGAGCCATCCCTGAGCTCGGTCGGAACTTGTAGAACCTCGGAGAACCCTAGCCTTGGCCGTGTTATCGGCGGCGCAGATCGCCTTTTTCTTGGAGCGCCGGGGGCAAAATGCAACCGCCCCTTTTTTCTACAGCCATAAAAATTCCCAACTATAGAGCCCGTCGCCACGTCCCCCGGACACGAGCTCTATGAAAAGATGAAAGTATATCCGTGCACGGTTTTTTTGTTTTTTCTTCTCGGGCCACAAGTAATGCTTTTTTTAGACAAGGAATCAACAGTTTTTTTTTTCTTTTTTGCACTATTAGTTCGTCCCTATTCCCCTGTGAGTGTGTAGGAAGCCAGCTTATTTTCTACGATTCTTTATGTTCTGAAAGTTTAATCGTTGGTCACGGGAGACGTGGGACTTTTAGGTTTGGAGATTTTCGACCTGAAATGTTGAGATGTTTATCGATGCAGGGGCTGGCTCGTTCTTTTAAAAGTGTACAGCCCGCCAGGCCCTCCAGTCCCTGTAGGCATGTGGAAAAGACAAAGATGAGAATCTGCGAGAGGAACTTGGAGGGACAGGGTTGTTGGGCAGGCCAGGGAGACATTCCCCGGACTTGCTGCTCCCCTCCCAGGCTGTGTCGTCCTTCCCCTCTGTCCTCGGGGCAGTCTGTAATGATCCTCTAAATACTTGTCTTTCTGTCTCTCCTAGGGCCTTGCCGAGTTCCTCTCTGTCCTCTGTGTCATGAAGGGCAGTGCCGCGTGGTGGTTAAGAAAGCGATTGTCCTTGGAGTTAACCGCCTGGAGTTTTAATTACAACTCCAATTCCTTATCGTGTGACTTGGGGGCAGACTATTCATCCGTGCTATTTCGGGACAGATTGTCTCCTAATTCTCCAAAAACATCTGTCTGCCTTTCTCTCCCCCCTCCCTCCTTTCCTATTCACAATACTCATTCATTGTGAATGTGGTAAGCACTGAGATTCATTCATCGTGTCCCACCTCAATCTGTCCCCACCCTGACTCCCCCATTCCACCCCCGACATAATTAGGACTTCTTCCCTTGGAAGGTACCACCTTTGGTTCCTCCCTGTGTTTGGATCCATTTCTGTAACAGCTGTGAGGGTGGGACCGCAGCAGGTTATCTGTTCTGGGAGCACCTCAGATGCAAACACCCCAAACCAAGCTCACTGTTCCTTCCCAACCTCCCACATTGTTTGCCGGAGTAGCCCGGTTTTCCTGAAATTGGAATCAGAATTTTCACCATGAGTTTAAATAGTTACAAAGAACACAGTTTATGGCTATACTGTGAATACTGACATTCCTAAAAATACTCTCCTGAATGTGTCTAGTAGAATGTAAATATTGAATTGATAATCACATTGTCGTTTCAAAAAATGATGTGAACACTCTTTAGATTCAGAATATTCTATGTTGCTGCTTTCTTCTGAATTTTATTCCCATATTTCTACAAAATGTCTCCTAGTGTACGTTGTTCATTGTATACTTGGAAAGACCTTTCCCTGATCACCCTGTCTTACCCTGATGTACTCAGATACATTTAAAGTGTTGTTTTCTGTGTTCTTAAGGAGCAGTGTTAGAAGTTTCTTCTTGGTCTGATCTTCATTGCACTTATTATGTGATTGATAAAATAAGTTATCAGCTTTGATGCATAATTAGTAAAAATAAGGTTTTGTTGAAAGTACATTTTCAAAATGGATTTGTGTGCATGTGCGCGTGCGGGGAGAGGGGAGGCTGTTAAAAGATCCCAGTTTTATGCCTTGAGGCAGCAACGTAATGTGTAAGATCGGCCTGCAGAATGCCTTTTGTTTGATAAGTGTAAGAAGGGAGTGATAAAGGCGGGAAACGTGCACCTCAACCTTCTCGGGGCAGTGTTAATGCAGGTCAGATAGCTTGAAGTTGATTCTGCAGAAGTATGTTTGTGTGCTCCTTGGGAAAGTTTTGTGTAACCTGAGGGCCTTAAATTGTACATTGAGTAAATAAAAACTTTTTCCAAAAGGATGTTGTGAGAAGAAGTGGACTGTCCATAAAGGTATGGGGATTATGGAAGTGGAGGCACGGACAGGGTGTCCTCCCGCTGAGCCACATAAGCTCGCTCTCTGGTTGTTAGTCCCATCAGGCAATTTGGAGTCAGTGTTTATTCATAAAAACACTGGGTTTTCCAGAACATATTATCTTAAATTTCAGCAGATTCCCTTTTGAATTTGTGCATCTCCGTCATTTTTTTCATCCCAAATGACAAGTGTGTATTTATATAGCCTTACGTACAGAATTTTGTTTTTAAATATTCTGTGCACTTGTGAACTCAACATTTTTTTTTTATTATTTTTTCATTGGAAAGGTGGATATACAGAGAGGAGAGACAGAGAGGAAGATCTTCCGTCCGATGATTCACTCCCCAAGGGAGCGCAACAGGCCGATACTATGCCGATCCGAAGCCAGGAGCCTTTTCCGGGTCTCCCACGCGGGTGCAGGTTCCCAAAGCTTTGGGCCGTCCTCGACTGCTTTCCCAGGCCACAGGCAGGGAGCTGGATGGGAAGCGGGGCTGCTGGGATTAGAACCGGCACCCATATGGGATCCCGGGCGTGCAAGGCGAGGACCTTTAACCACTTGTGCCACCGCGCCGGGCCCAAACTCAACATTAATTATGCATTTGAAATGAACGGCTTGTTTACAGTGATCTGACATTGAAATAATGAGGTAGCCCCTACTAATTGCTCAATCTGGGGTACATTTTGTTAGGTTCCTTCACTGTTTCCTTCTGGTTCTCTGTAGGAACATTTAAAACCAGATCCATTAGGGGATTTTTCAAGATACTTTCTCTAAACAGTACTTTTGATGAAAACAAATTGAAAGCACCCTAAAATGTGGTTTACTCACATCTCCATAGGTTATAAACTTCTTTTTCTTTCAGTGACTAATAACTTCTGGTTTTCCGTTATTATTGGTTTGATTGAATATTTGTTTTGACATTCCTTATTAAAAAATCTAGAATCTGCTGTTATCCACATGATGCTCATCAGAAAGTTTGGGGTTTGGGAATATTTTTTATTATTTTGGATTTGGGGGTATTCAACCAGTGGATTCTGGAATTTTACAGCCTCAAGATTCTTTGATTTTTAAGATTTATTTTTATTGGAGAGACACAGAAACAGGTTGTCCGTGCACTGACTTATTTCCCCAAAAGACCACAACAACCAGATATGAGCTGATCTAGAGCCAGGAGCTGATTCTAGGTCTCCCACATGGATACAGGATTCTGAGGCTTTGGGCCATCCTCTGTTGTTTCCCCAGACTGGAAGGAGCAGCCAGGACTAGAACTAGAGCCCAAATGGGATGTCAGCATTTGCAGGTAGAGGATTAGCCAATTGAGCCATCACTTCAGCTCCAAAGGCTCAAGTTTGTTTGTTTATTTCTTCCTTTCTCAATTTCTACGATTTGTTTTTATTGGAAAGTCAGAATTACAGAGAGAAGGAGAGGCAAAGATCTTCCATCTTTTGCTTCATCCACAAATGACAGTGGCCGAAGCTGAGCTGGTGATCAAGAGCCTCATCTGGGTCTCCCAGGCGAGTGCAGGTTCCCAAGGCATTAAACCATCCTCCTCTGCTTTTCCAGGCCGTGTGCAGGGAGCTGGATGGGAAGTGGAGCAGCCAGGACTTCAACTGGTGCCTAAGTGGGATTCCGCCATTTAAAGGGGGAAGACAGGCAATCTAACACATTTCTGGTCCCAAGCGTTTTGGATTAGGGATACTCAACCTGTATGTATTTAGGATTATTGACCTGGCTGCATATTAAAATAACAGAAACAAACCTCTGAAGATGGTTTTCTTTTTAGGACCTTACCTCATTTTATGTATCTGACCCAGTGAAATAAACTTACCCTTCACTGACTTTCTTGCTCTCTGCCTCTGATTTCAATAAAAATGTACTCATCTCTAAAGACTTCCCTGCTCCCACTGTTAAGTCAGGATTATCTTCTACAAGAACTTGGTGCTAATAAAGTAAGCTACCATGCATGACTTGTTGCTATTAATATTTTAGAATCTTAGCATTTTAGTACCATAAGGAAAAAGAAGTAAAATTCTTGCTTACTTGATGAATACATGTGATGGGCTGTAGTGGGCTCATGGTGTGTTTTCTTGAACTGCTCTGAGTGCTGGGTTACATGTCATATTGCTAGTGATTTGAGTTTGTAGATTTGTAGTAGTGTTATGTAGAGACTGCAAAAACATAAAATTTCCGTTGAAGGAACTTGCCATTTTAGTGGCGATGCTGTGTTGGTTGTATCTGTGAGAGTAGAAGTGTAAGATATTTTTACTGTGCCAAAGCTGCTTGTTTCTTCCACTCCTAATGTGCTAGTGAGTCTGCATTGAAAGATGGTAAAACCAGAGCTGTACCTTCCAGAAGTTCATTTCTTCCCTAAGACCCCAGAAGAAGATAACCAGAAGTCGTTCTAGAAAACTACATGAGATAGTGAGTGGATTTGTGTTAAACATATGAGTATTAAGCTTTTAAAGAGTATTTACTTATATATGTGAAAGTTTTGACAGCTGATGCCTTGTTGGAATCACAAGAATTGTGTTGTTGTAGGCTGGTCCTCCCAGTACCCGCTGCAGTCCCTTCTGACAGGCTATCAGTGCCATAGTAACGACGAGCACACGTCCTATGGAGAGACAGGCGTCCCCGTTCCTCCTTTCGGATGCACTTTCTGTTCTGGTAAGAGAATTACTGTTCAGGCTAGTCCTCAACAGAAATGACTTTCCTGCTGAGAGGAAACATACTGGAGTAGCTTCCTTCCAAAGAAAAGTAGAATGCTTGAGCTTTTGTGATGATTCTCTCGTTATGTAAGAATTTTCATAATGTGTACATAATTAACCTGAGTGTGTACTTCTAAGGCATGGGACAGTTATAACAATATATATCAATATATATTTAAATATTCTTATTGGAAAGGAAGATTTGCGGAAAAGGAGAGGCAGAAAGAAAGATCTTCCGTTCACTGGTTCTCTCCTTAAGTGGCCCCAGTGGCCAGAGCTGAGCCATTTTTTAGAGCCAGAAGCTTCTTCTGGGTCTCCAACACAGGTGTGGGGTCTCAAGGCTGTGGGTCCTCCTCTGCTGCCTTCTCGTGCCACAAGTGGGGAGCTGATTTGGAAGCCAGAATGCCAACCATGCCTAGTGCATGCAAGGCAAGAATTTAACCACCAAGCCATCACACCAGGCCCAGCATTCATTGAATTACAAAGGTTCAGCTACCGTGAAAACTGTTCCATGTGATTCATTGGTAAAAATGTGAAACAAAATAGAAGTCCTTAACTATTTCAGGAAAGAGAGGTGATTAGTTGCAAGTTTGTAAATTAAAAACTGATTTAACCTGCTACTGGCCTACATCATTCCTCTTAATTGCCACTTAGCCCATCCCTATGCAAGAGATTGTCTATATAATTCTTAAATATATTTTTTAAATGTATTTTTTTTAGCTCCCCACATGGAGCATATCCTAGCAGTTGCCAATGAAGAAGGCTTCGTTAGACTGTACGACACAGAATCACAAACTTTGAAAAAAAAGTGCTTCAAAGGTAAGTGTAGATCCTGCATTTTTCTTTAATTCATAGAGTTTTTTGTTTGTTTGTTTGTTTTTAAGTTTTATTTGAAAGATAGGAAAAGAGAAATCATCCAGTTGCTGCTTCATTCCCCAAAAGGTTTTAGGAAAGTTAACTGTCTTAAGCAGTGCAGTTAGGGAAATACTACTTTGAAATATCCATGTTGATTGGATGGCTTCCATCTATAAAGCAAAGGTCTACTGATCTTAAGCTGATAATTGGAAGCCAGTAAGTTAAGCATGGAAGTAACTAAAATAAAGCACAGGCTATAAATGATAGAAGTAACATAAAAGCAGCACAGATATATCAAAAACAAAGTTTTCATTTTGTAAAGAAGACCAGGTAATCTCTTCACAAAGAGTGGAAGTATTTGAGCTGAACTGTTATTTGGACCAGGGGCGGTGTAGGAAGACAGTACCAGGGTAGAAAAAGAAGCCTGGGCTAGAGTGAGGAAACTGATCCAGTCTGGCTGGAATAACTATCTGGAGAACAGTGGAAGATAAGCCTTATAACAGAAGTAAACGCCATTCCGTGCAGGCCCTTGAATGTCAGGCTGAAGTTGAATCCGTTCAAGAGCCTCCTGGAGATTTTTGAACAGGAGAATTTTTCAGAAAGCTTTTGTGTTAATGTATTACTAGAGAGCTCAGGGAAAGGGATTTCACATCAGATGTGCTAGGGACGGGACTGTCTACAAGTCCACATCCTTGTTGACCAGTGGAGCGCACTTGCTGACCACGGGTCTTGTCCTGACAGCTTTCGAGACATTTAACATGCTGATTATAAAGCTACTACAGAACACAGTATAGATTTTCACATTTGCCGTTTTCTTTGTTTAGAATGGATGGCTCATTGGAATGCTGTGTTTGACTTGGCCTGGGTCCCTGGTGAATTTAAACTTGTGAGTGACTCATTTTATTGGAATCTGGGTAAATGCTTGGAAAGAGTTGCTTTACTGAGATGTGCCATCTTACTTTTGAAAGGTTACGGCAGCAGGTGATCAAACAGCTAAATTTTGGGACGTAAAAGCTGGTGAACTGCTTGGAACATGCAAAGGTCATCAGTGTAGCCTGAAGTCGGTTGCATTTTCTAAGTTTGAGAAAGGTAGGTTTATGGTTACCCTTTTTTGAATAAATGAAAAGCTCTAATTATTTCTACCCTTTCTCTGTCAGAGGTGTTGACTTTGCCTGTATAGATGAAATAGCCACAATACTTCTGCTTAATTTTGGTCGTTTTTTTGTTTATTTATTTTAAAGATTTTAGTCAGGTTTAAAGAGAGACAGAGAAAGATCTCCCAAGTGCTGGGCCACTCCCCAAATAACTGCGACAGCCAGGGCTGAAGGAGGACCCGGAGATTGTGCCCAGTCTCCCACATGGATGCCAGAGCCCAAGTCCTTGAGTCGTCTGCCATAATCCCAGGCACATTACCAGGAGCTGGATTGGAAGATGAACAACCAGAACTTAACAAGCCTGGCTATATGAGTGTTGATGCTACAGGCTGTGGCTTAGCCTGCTGTGGCCCCAATTTTGATTGTTTCTTAAGTTCAGAACCTTGTATTATATACATGTTGATTCTTGTAAAATTTAGATGGAGTGTGAAGCTAGGGTGAGATACCTGATCAGCGGACATAATTCTCTGCCTAGAAATTTACTGTGTAATCAGTTTAGATTCCTGATACATCCAAGAAGCATCTGAAGTAACCTGGCTTGATTCTCAGTATAATATAGACAGTCTGCTTTACTGTTAGCATTTACTCCAGGCATGCCTTGGAGGTGCTACAGGCTCTGTTTCTAAGCCATTGCAGAAAGGTAAATGTTGCAAAAACTGAGTCATGTGAATTTTTTAGTTATCAGTGGCACATAAATATTAGCTTTTCTGTACTATGTATAATCTAGTAAGTATGCAGCCACATTATTTTTAAAAAGTGGCCATGTTGTTGCTTTAATAAGTGCTAATTATTGTTTAAGCCTTTAGGAAGTCATCTTTTTTCTGGTAGAGGGTCTTTGGGCTGATGGGCACTGACTGGTCATTCAGAGGGATGGACTAAGGAGGCTTTTTTGTAAAAAAATTTTTTTTAATGTTTTATTTTCATTTTATTTGAAAGGTACAGAGAGAGAGCTTTCATCTACTTACTCACTCCCCAATGCCTGTGTTCTACCTTGCTTCATTCTGAGCTTATAAATAATGTAAGGAGTGTAAGGAAATCGTGAAAATTTCAATAATACTGGGGAAAGGAAGCCACGTATCTTTGGTCTGCTTGCTTACTTTTTAAAAAAAAAATTGAGTGTGTGACGGAGTCTGTAGTGACATGATCCCACAGCAAATCAGTGAGTTAGAAATTGGGGTGGGCAGCTCCTTTTCATGGTGCCCAGTGGTCCACAATTCTCTTGTGAATTGGCCTGGCTGGACACTCTTCGCAAGGCCCACGCTGCAGATGGTGATTAGATCTTGGCCTCGATGGTGGCCCCGTAAAATTTCTCTTAATTTCATCTTCATTCTTGAGAGAGATTTTTGTGAGAGAGAATTCTATGTTGTTGTGTTTTTCATTCCCCTTTAATTACCTGACAGACTTTTCCACTGTCTTGCAAAGTTTCCCTTGAGAACTGTGATTGTTCAGATGATTTCTCTGTCTTTCTGTAAGGTGTTGTTTTTCTGGCCACTTCCAAGATTTCCTATCTTTGATTTTTAGTAGTGTGACTGTGGCGTATCTGGTCAAGGTTCTCTTCGAAGTTATCCCCTTTGGGGTTTTCTCAGCTTTTTAAATTTGTAAATATATGTTTCACTGAATTGGGAAGTTTTCTGCCATTATTTGCTGAAATATTTTTTGTACCTAATTCGTTCATTTTCTCTCCCTCCTTCTGGGGCTGTAGTTACTCATATACTTGATCCTTTGAAATTAATTTTTTTTTCTTTTAAGATTTATTTATTTTTTATTACAAAGTCAGACAAAGACGAGAGACGGAGAGGAAGATCCTCCGTCCGATGATTCATTCCCCAAGTGACTGCAATGGCCGGTGCCAAGCCGATCCAAGATGTTTATACTGAAAAAAAAAAACTGTACAAAGTAATTTCTCTGCACACATTTTCTTACACGCATAAAATACTTTATATAGTAAATTTATGGTAAGGATAATGACAAGAGGCTGGTGTTGTGGAGCAGTAGGTAAATCCCACATCTCACATGGGCATGGGTTCAAGTCCTAGATGTTCTACTTCTGATCCAGCTTCTCCCTCATGCCCGTGGGAGAGCAGTGGAATGATGGCTCAAGTCCCTGGGCTCCTGGCACCCGCCTGGAAGAAGCTCTGGGCTCCTGGCTCCAGCTTAGCCCTGCCTTGTTTGTTGTGGCCATTTGGGATATGAACCAGTAGATTTTTCTCTCTCACTCTTTCTAAGTCTGCCTTTGAAATGAAGGAATAAATCTACATGGGGGGGAGAAAGATGACAGGTAATAGACCATTATCCTATATACTGTACATTGTTCCACATACTTGACAAATCATCTCAATTCTTGCTTATCAACCATTTATTAGGCATTATCCTCCCCGTTTTATAGAGAAGACTAGGGCTCAGAGGGAAAACGTCGGTTATGAAGGTGTTTTTGGCAGGATCAATCCAGAGCCTATATGCCAAATCCTTAAGGTATATTGTCTCAGGATGAAGTTACGGACCAGATCCATATGCATGTTGTTGAAGAAGGCAAACTGGGGATAGAAAGAGGGCAACAGGAATGCTTTATTTAAAATTAAACAAAACACACTTCTTCCTGTGTGAAGGGTGAGCAGTTAGCAGGCCTATCTATAATAGCCTTAAAGTGGACGAGGTGCACAAACCAAGTTCCTGAGGGCTCTGCAGGAACTGCCCAAACTGTGTGGGCACCAGTTCACATCCCAGTGACTCTACGGGTCCAGCTCTCTGCTGGAAACAGTGGAATGTGACCCAACTACTTGAGCCCCTGCCACCTAGATGCAATTTCAGGCTCTTGGCTTTGGCCTAGCATAACACTCAGTGTTGGAGTCAACCAGCAAATGAGACGCCGAAACATCTCTCTGTCTCTCCTTTTCACTGTGTACCTCTGCCTTTCAAATAAATAAATCTGTTTAACAAAACTCTAGGAAATTGAAATATATGTGCCATTAACTGGTTTTATTTACCTCATGATAAACTTTATTTCCCACAGCTGTATTCTGTACAGGTGGAAGAGATGGCAACATTATGGTCTGGGATACCAGATGCAACAAAAAAGGTATTTTGGTTGTTTTCCTCTTCATAGATGTTGGATCATTCCACACTTAATTTCAAATGAAAATGTTAGTGATTTATCCGAGTACCACTAGGGGGCACTTGTGTCCTTAAACTACCAGTTCTGTTCAGGGTTCCAATTCTCAGGATCCTAGTGAATGGTGCAATTGTCGTTATTCATGTGTGCCTCCTGCTGTCTTCTGAGTTATGATGACATTTATTCACATGCTATTAGGATTAAACCTGTTGGTGTGTGTGTTCACTGATAAATATACATTTATGTTTATTAAAATTTTTGGTTTTAAAAAATTAGATTTAGCTCCTTTTCCCTTATGTCATTAAGAAAGTGATTCTCTAGCTTAGTAAAATTTAAAAGGTGCTTTTTATTTTTATTTATTTATTTATTTTTTTAAGGAATTCGCAGAAGGGAAATTCAACTTCTCCTACTGCCACCTACTATGTTAATGGTACATGTATTAGAGTAGATAAACCTATATTGGCACATCATTGGCATTCAGCGGATTCACTTTTTGATGTTGTATATACTAAAGAGATGTTAACACATGTGTTATATGTATCTGCCATTGCAGAATAGTTTCATTTCCTGGAAATCCTCTGCTTTTATTTCCACAACAAGCCCTGGCAACCACTGGTGTTTTGGCTATCTCTGTAGCTGTGCCTTTGCGGAAATGTCACAGTTGGAATCATTTTACATAGACTTCTTAGATGGACTTTCTAACTTAGCAACATGCGTTTACGTTTCCATTCATGGCTTTGTCCAGCACGTTTTCTATTAGTCTGGAATACTATTCCACTGTCTGGATGTATATATTTTCTCCATTCATCTGAGGGAGATGGTGGTTGATTGCATTTTTGGCAAGTATGAATAAATCTATAAATCTGTTTACCCTCTTGTTATACATCGTGATTTCATCACAGCCAGTGCAGCTGACTACTGATACCGATCTTCCTAAGTTTTCAGAAATTGCCTAACTGTAACGTCTTCTGTATAAGTGTTGCATGACATTGAGCATGAGATCAGTTTGAAACCTAAGTCAGTTTCCTTGGATTATCTTTCAGATGGTTTTTATAGGCAAGTGAATCAAATCAGTGGAGCTCACAATACCTCAGACAAGCATACCCCTTCCAAACCTAGAAAGAAGCAGAATTCCAAAGGGCTTGCTCCTTCTGTGGTAAGATCGTATACATGTATACATGTGTAGAAATCTTTAATAGTAGACTGGAATCTCATGTTAGCAAATTTCCTGGACAAAAGACTAGAATTAAGTCGGTGAGGACCTTCCTTGTAGTGTAAGTGGTTTGCTGTTTTTGTGTAAGATAATGATTACCTGTGTGATACATTAAAAATGCATCTCCCTGTGCCTCTTCCATAGAGATCTCTGTACTTACATACTGTACTTGTGTAATATGATTCATTAGCAAGTGAGGTAAAAGTAGTTTGAAGATTATCAGATACTATTATGCAATATAATGGTGAAGTAATCCCTGTTAGATAGAATACAGAAAAGTGAATTTAAGCATTAAGCAAGTTATTAAATGCATAAGACTGCAAAAGGCTTGTGGGATAATGTGATGAAACGATTTAAAGAGTTATTTATTTCTCAGCTCCATCAAGTTCAAGATACTTTTGTAAGTGCCTGATACCAGCATTTAGTTCAGCTTTAAAGAACTGAAGGTATTAGGAATCATTTGCAGTATTTTTTATATTATTAACTGAAGGAAATGAGTGCCCGTTAAATAATTTTTTCAGATTAGGAGACAAGAAAAATCAGAAAGAACTGAATCATGATGTTAAAGTGGGTGCCCGAAAGATTTCCCATCAGAATTGGCCCAAATTGCGCATGGTGGGTGAGTGGGTGGGGTCATCAGGACCGTTTTCTGGTGGACAGGAGAAGCTTTCCTGGGTGTTCGTTTTTTGCTAATGCTTTTGTAAACTTTCTCAAAGTACTGTTATAATAAGTGGATGCTTTTTGGTCCTCCAAAATATGAACAAACAAAATGCCTGAATATCCAAAAACAAGTGGTCTCTGTAGTTAGCTTTGCTATTGACAGCCTCTCTTTGCTTTCATAGGCCACTGTCCCCTCTTGTTTTGGCAGCCATTGCTTTTTTGTTTGTTTTATTCTTGGAATCTTACTGGTAAAGGCGTACTTCATTTCACGTTACAGGCTTCCAGAATATGCTTCAGGATCTTGATTACACATCCATTGAAAGCTTTGCCCTTGTTTATAGCTCTCCTGAGTCCATCAGCTTGGCATAGTAGAGCTGCAAATTTATTCCACTGTGGTTTTTCAGTCAGTAATCACTGATACTCTTTAGAGCACAAGCAAGATTTCTTTTTCTGGGGAAAAATCATTTTGTTTATTTTTTTAAAAGATTTATTTATTTTATTGGAAAGTCAGATATACAAAGAGGAGAGACGGAGAGGAAGATCTTCCTTCCGATGATTCACTCCTCAAATGAGTGCAACAACCGATGCTATGCCGATCCGGAGCCAGGATCCAGGAACTTCTTCCGGGTCTCCCACATGGGTGCAGGGTTCCAAGGCTTTGGACTGTCCTCGACTGCTTTCCCAGGCCACAAGCAGGGAGCTAGATGGGAAGTAGAGCAGCTGGGTTAGAACCGGCGCCAATATGGGATCCCGGTGCATTCAAGGCGAGGACTTTAGCTGCTAGGCCATGCCACCAGGCCCTGTTTATTTAAACGACAAGATTAGATCTTCCACCTGCTGGTTCACTCCCCTAGTGGCCAGTGCTGAGGCAAGCTGGAGCCTGGAGTTTCATCTGAGTCTCCCACGTGGGTCGTATGACTAATTCTAAGTGAACCTAGCAGACTCAGACAAGTAAAATGATCAGTGGCTGGCACAGTAGCCTAGTAACTTAAAAGTCCTCAGTTTGCATACACCAGGATTCCATATGGACACCAAATGGACACCAGTTTGTATCCTAGCTGTTCTGCTTCCCTTCCAGCTTCCTGCTTGTGGCCTACAAGTGCAGTAGAGAATGGCCCAAGGCTTTGGGATTCTGCACCCATGTAGGTGACCCAGAGGAAGCTCCTGGCTCTTGGTTTCAGGTTGGCTTACTCCAGCCAACGCAGCCACTTGGGGAGTGAACCATCTGACAGAAGATCTTTCTCTTCCCTTTCTCTGTAAATCTGCTTTTCAGTAAAAATAAATAAATCTCTTAAAAAAATTATAATCAGCAAGTCAATGTATTAATCCTGTATGCTATAACTTAGTGAGGTCATTTCTTCTGATTATTTCTGAGTCAAACCTAGAGGTTTTCAAAAAGTTCAAGGAAAATATGTATTATGACAAAATATGTACATATGAAAATATGTATTATGACTTTGTGAATTTCAAAAATTTTGCACCAAAATAAATTTGACTTCTAATCCTGTTTTCTGAGAACTTTTGTGAGTATCCTTGTATATCTGATAGTTATTATTATTGAAAAAAGAGGCTTTAAGTTGGAGTTAGAGGGCGCTGTGTTTTAACACCTTGTTTTCTTGATGGTGAAGATTGTAGTGCCTAACAGAATTTCCTTATCTGTTTCTTCTTTGTGCTGTTAGGATTTCCAGCAGAGTGTTACTGTGGTTCTCTTTCAAGATGAGAATACTTTGGTGTCAGCAGGAGCTGTGGATGGGTAAGCTTTTTCTTCTTGATTCTTTTGATGAAGTTGCCTAGAACCATTGCAGTTGAGTGTGTGTAACTTTAACTTTTGACGTGGTATCCCTGCCGAGAAGGAAACTAGCGATCGTACTAGGTGCTACTGAGCTAGAACTCTTGCTCAGAAAATAAAACAAATTCACACATGTGCCACACTTGGCATAGTATCTTTTACATAGGAGCAATGTTACTTACTACTGCAGTTATAGAAGAGAAGCTGGATGAGAATCCTGTTTGCTTTATGCAATATAGTTTAGTCACTAATTCTTAATTTGCCTTTCCAGATTTTGGAATATCCTTGAAAAAGAATTCAGATTCTGGGCATGCAGTTGACCTTTGGAAGCAATCTAACTATTTTGATAATAAGGCGTAATGACTTTCACATACTTGGAGTTCATGATTGGGCTGAGGTTTCTGCTCCCAAAGCTGGTTTTAAGTGCCTTTCCTTGCCCATAATATCTGTCAAGGTCTCTCTTGTTGTATCTTAAAAACACTTCTGTGAACCAGATTCTCGGGCAGGAATGAAGGGTTATCTGAGAGTCACTGTATATACTTAAGAGTGGCTAAGAAAGCTGTTCTGTTTATTTCCAAAGATACTGCCATTTTAGAGCAACTTTGTGTTTTCAAATTGTCCATATACTACAGAGGATTAGAATAATTGCATCAATGGACAAAATAAAAGGCATATGTATTTTACAGGAAAGTTTCTTTAGATTACTTAAAGAGTTATGTGTAATCATAGGAGCAGAGTTTGTTACTTATGATGTCAAAGGCTTGGGAAGTATTGTTTCTAGAAACAATGGAGCAGTGACTATCTACACTCAACCTTCAGCTTCCTTTTCCGCTCCCATGGAGTAAACCCCAGTAACCTGTCACTGGGTCAGATCACATCTGTTTCCGAGCCATCAGAACTTAAGTCTAGCATTGAAGATGACAGTATGAGATAGTTCGCATTGTTTCCCAGGAAGATGTCCTAAGTGTAACCGTGTTGATTGTGCCAGATGAGTTAGATTAAAGGTCATTTCGCATTCCATGTAACTGAAGCTGTTTGGAGGTTTGGAAGGTCTGCAAAATAACATTTGCCTTGGCTTTTTCTTTCTTTCTTTCTTTCTTTTCTTGCTTCTTTTTTTTCTTTTAGCATAATCAAGGTGTGGGATTTGCGCAAGAATTATACTACTTATCGGCAAGAACCTATAGCGTCCAAGTCTTTCCTGTACCCAGGTAGCAGCACTAGAAAACTAGGTAAGCCATTGCACAGACTAGGAAGGGGGGATGGCAGAGGGCAAAGAGTTTTGTTAAGATATTTAGTAAACAATACATTAAAAAAAAATCGGGTCACTTTTTAGCAACGTTGTCTTGGGAACTTTAAAAGTGCAAATTTTTGAGGTTCAAGAGTTAAAAACTCAAACATTTTTGGTTTGTATTTGGGGGGTCAAAGAATTGTGGGTTTTCTTATAGGGTAATATTTTATTTATACATTTTAGCATAATAACTGTGCATAATCAGGACATGCTAACTGAAGATTCCTTTTTCTAGGATACTCAAGTCTGATTTTGGATTCTACTGCCTCTACTTTATTTGCTAATTGCACAGATGACAATGTCTACATGTTCAATATGACTGGATTAAAGACTTCTCCAGGTAAAATAATTCATCATTCAGATTCTCTTACTAAGAAACCAATAAAGGTTTTTTATTAATGATAATTTGCTATCTTTGTTCTGGAACTAGATTATGAAGTTATATGAGGGCCTTGGCATCTTTGAGTGCTTCCATTGGTATTTTTGTAAGTGTACTCTGTAATGCTTTCAGAACTAAACAAAACCCTGTTCTACATAGGACTTAGCTTTACTTTAATAGTGAGTCTATCCTGAAATTATGTCCCTTGGCCTAAAGTTAGTTATATTAATTTTTTATTTAATAAATGGTGTGGTAGGGAGCTATTCTGCTCGACTCTTCTTTGATAGCTATTAAAATCAGAAGGCTGAGTTTTTTAGGCCCCAAAAATTTGTTCCATATGCACCTTTTTCCCCTTCTCCAGACTATAAAAATAGAACTTGACTCTTAAAACTATTAAGTTTCTCAAGCATTTTTGAGTTACATTTTTGAAGATCATTTTCAGTTACTTAGGCAAGCACAAAGTATTATAGCTTGATTCTTCCTCAGTCAAAACACTTTGAATTCCATGACCAACTGCCAGAGCGCCTTAGTTCCTTCTAAAGCATGATACACTGATAAGCAAGAAAACTCAAAATAGTACAGATCTTAGGTTGTTTTAGTTACGATTTTACAGATGCAAACATTTCCAGAGATTTCTACAAGCCGTCTTACCATAACTTATCTGTAGTAGCATCACAGTTGACATTTCCAATGCCTTGGATTAGGTTTAATAGTCTCTAAACAAGAGCAAGAATATTTGGGAAAGTCAACAGATTTAGTAGGTCCTTTTGGCATTTTCCAGATGTGACAAAAGTGCTTTTTAAATAATTTTCCTTATAATGTGACATTAAAAGAGTCTTTTTCATTTTGTCCATCTGTCATTAAACAATCTTAATATTTACTCTTTTTTGTGCTTCTAAAACAATTTGTTTTCATAGGTTGATTATAGGAGGGTAAATATGTGGATTTAGATTTATTCCTTGATGGGCAAGGGAGTAGGGAGGATGTCTAAAACACCTAGTAATTATGTTTTTTGGGTTTTTGTTTTTGTTTGTTTTGTTTTTAAGGAGTTTGAAACATTTGCGATTATATATTTCATACCAATCTTTCTTAGACCAGTAGAGGGCAGTAAATACTTAGAGATAGTGTGGCAAATTCAGTATATAATTTTCCACTCAGTTTAGAATTGAGAAAGATTAACTTTTTTCTAGGGGTTTCTTTTACTGTTTTTCACAGGGTCTATTTCTTTTTTAGTTGAGTAAAGTTTGCACAACTGCTTCAGTAGTTTGTGTAGTGATAAGACTTCTTGAGATATATGTTATCTGTGTTCATTTGAATGTAGGAATAAAAGAACTAAATAACTTTCCTCTTACAGTGGCTGTTTTCAGTGGACACCAGAACTCTACGTTTTATGTAAAATCCAGTCTTAGTCCAGATGACCAGTTTTTACTCAGTGGTTCAAGTGATGAAGCTGCCTACATCTGGAAGGTAAGTTGCCAAACTTCCCCCCCCAAACACAAAACTGAGGTGTTCCTGCTAACGTTTCTGCTCTGTTATAACGTAAGCTTAACATAAAACACATACTGCTAGTTTCTTCCACATCAAATGTTTAGTGGGAATTGCTTTCTTGATGCTACACATTATCAGAAAATTGAAAGTGATTGCAGTTCTAAATGTACAATTCTGGGCTAAGGAATTTAAAGCTTTCCATTTGAAGCCCAGGGGAGAAAATGTGGGGTGATAATAAAGAGTGATTTCTGTATACATAGAGACGTGAAAACGCAACACTGGCTTATTAAAAGCTTGTGGCAGCAATATCCTAATTGGGCACAAGGTGGAGATATTGTCCTAGCCTAGATGATTTTGTGCCTCTAGCACAGAATATATATATATATATTTAATTTCAGATCTGGTCTTATGCTTCTTGCTTTGCTGTGTTTTTTGTTTTTTTTTCTTTTTCTTTCTCTCACTGTCCTAACTACAGTCTGGTTTTTCCTTTGGTTTCTGACTTTACTAGAGAATTTTATTCCTATTACAGATCTATATCTTGAAGTTTCTTTCTTTGAATCAAAAGTGGGATTTCAGGCATACCAAAAGGTGTAAAAGGATTGTGTGGAAAATACATACATACTGATCATTCTACAGGATTATGCTGCATCAGTTTTTTAAAAGCTACATATGCATGCATGCATGTTATCTTTGAACTGTTTCTTCATGAACGTCTTAAAGTGCCTTCCTGGGTATGTGTGCACATACATACATGCAGCTTTCTTCCCAACGCTCTTCATAAAATTCTTTTAAATGTTATTTCAAGGAATAAGGATTGAAGCTGTACTTCCTCCTTTTAAAGAACACTAAAGATTCCTGGCTGTTGCTTCTGACCCATACTGAGACGTTCAGTCAGTGGCCACCACATAGATGAGTGACCCTTAGAATTCCTAGGCTGGGTTACATGTCAGTGCCGAATGACGTGGTTTAGACGTAATGTTCTCCTCCCTGTCCACAAATTACTCAGTGTACAAACCCTGTTATTTAAGATCCTGGCAAGCTTACTGCTCCTGAGATTGAATTTGCCTTGTGAAATTGCTCCGTTTGTCTTTTCCATACTAAAAGGGAGTGCCGGGGCAGTTAAATATAAGCAGTTTGAGAGAAACTAATGATGCTTGCAGTTGGATTATCTTATATCTCTGCTGTATGTCCAAGGAGTTAAGACTTTTTTAAGCATTAGAATTTTTTCAATGGCAAAATTTCCATGGACATAAGGCATAAAGAAGGAAGAGAGGTTTCTGTCTCAGGACAGAAGAGGCTGCCTTTCGGAGTGCACACAGTTCCTCTGCGGAAAGATGCGATGAGCTTAGTCTTAGATGCGGAGCCCCAAGACTGAAAGAGATGTGACGGTGTACTTTCTAATTTCCTACGCATTGTCCCACCATCCTCTCTTCCTGGTTTGTTTCCTGGTGTAGCCAGTGAATAGTACTGAAGTGGCTATAAATAAACTGATTTGGCATAGTCCTGCTACTGCTGACTGGCGAAACACTGAGCCTGACACTTTAGGAAGTGTAAATGATCTCATGGCAAAAATAAAGATTAGATTTCATTTCCAGCTGGGCAGAGGGAGAAGGTTTTGTGAGGAAAAGTGCTGATCATTTTTCCATGTTTAATTCTACAAAATGTTGCAAGTCAGTCATTACTGCTGGGACTACCTTCATAGTTTTAACTTTGGGATTCCTTGTGCCCTGAGGTTTTTAGTTCTATAAAATTAGAATATTAAAATTCGAGCAGTTTTCTTTATTTGACCATCTTCTAAGAGCGCAGAGATCTGTGTTCCATGGACTTAGTCTCCTTCCAGCTTAAGGAGGACTGTAAAAATGAAATCTTTATAGTTTTGATGTTTTTATAATAACAAAGTGGCAATAAATAAAAACTTACATGAAAGATTTAAAAGTCACTAATATTGCTTGGAAGACATTAATCTCTGAAATGAGCATTAATTCCTACACATAGGTAGTCACAATCTATCAAAGCGCTCATCAATAAAATTGTTAAAAACACGTTAGACATACAAGTTTCTTACTTTTTCTCACACTTTTTTCTTATTGAGATAGAATTATTGTAGTAACAAAAATTGTGACAGTCTGCTCGTTTTAAAGCATACAGTTCAGTAGCTTTTAGTATGATCACCGGGTTGTGCAGTAATCACCACTGATTCCCAGATGTTTGTCATCAGAAAAAAGCCCTTTCCCTTTAACACTCATTATCTTTACCACATGCCCTCAACAACTGTTATATATTATGTGGCATTTTGTCTGAAACCTCTTCCATTCAGCGTTGTTTCCCATGTATATAATGTGTGTCAGTACTTTGATTAATGTCATATTGTATGGACAGATCACATTTTGTCTATCTGTTCATCAGTGGATGGTCAATTAAGTTGTTTCCACTTTTGATGAATAAAGCTACTGTGAATATGTGTAGGTTTTTGTATGGACCTATTTTCAGTTTTGAGGGTACATGCCCAACTATTAGATCATATAGTAATTAATTCTGTTTAGTGGTTTTTTGTTTTTTTAGGAACTTTTTCTGTCACTTTTAGTACTGTATAAATTGCCCAGCTGGTAATATTCAGTCATCAAGTGCTGGCTTTTATTAATAACTTACCAAATTATTAAAGGTTTTCCCCAAATGTCTCTTTTTTCCTTTTTCTCTAAGATCCTATGGATGAATGCAAAAATGGTATTTTGTGGGCTTTTGCTTTTTTCTGGAAACTTATTTTAATCCTTTGTGTGCCCATGTAGGTTCTCTAAGGTATTATGATTCATAAACTGAAAAGGACAGTATCGTGAAAAGATAGAAGAGTAGGCCAGAGTAAAGCAGTACAGAATGATGAGCCCTTACCAGCGGTGTTCAGAGATGTGAGGACGTCCCCTCCCTTTTTTAAAATGTGTTTATTTTAAAGGAAGAGAAACAGAAATCTTCCATCTACTGTTTCACTCCCCAGATGTCCACAAGAGATTGGGCAAGGAACTGAGGTACTTGTGACATCATCCATTTTCCATGGCACTTTGGCATGGAGTTGGATCAGAAGCAGAGTACCACGACCTGAGCTAGTGCTCTTAAAGAAGAGATGTGAGTGGGCCTAGCGGCCCTGCTTCCCATCCAGCTCCCTGCCTGTGGCATGGGAAAGCAGTCAAGGATGGCCCAAAGTCTTGGGCCCCTGCACCCCAGTGGGAGACTCGGAAAAGGCTCTTGTCTCCTTGCTTCGGATAGGCTCAGCTCCAGCGATTGCAGCCGCTTGGGGATTGAATGAAAGGACAGAAGATCCTCCTCTCTGTATGTCTAACTTTCCAATAAAATAAATAAATACATCTTTAGAAGAAGAGATGTGGGCATACTAACTAACAGCCTAACCCATTGTGCTGCATCACCCATCCCTTCTCTTTTTTAACTTGTCATCACACTCATTTAGCTCTGGGGAAAAAGAGATAATAGACTGGGACCATCCCAACCAAAGGAGAAGGGAGAATTTCTGTAACTATTGGACTAGAGACTCCCAAAGTCTTTTCCTGAAGTATATGACCTTGTAAGAGATTGATTGATTGACTGGTGTTATAGAAAGTTGCACAGGAGATCCTTGTAGACAAGGGGAAAGCATCCTTTTCTGTTGAACTATAATGAACTTTCTCTGCTTTTTGAGTCTTGCATATGTACCATTTAATACGAGAGGAGTGGTAATAATTGGCTCTCACAGATATTCTTTTCCGAATCTCCTCCACTTTATTCATACAAATAAGCCATGATTCAGCACCTCAGGAAAATGAAAAAGAAAATAACTTTCTCAGCCCCAGCCTCCTTGCTCTTTTCAAATACATAAGCTAATAATAGTTATGTGAGGGGCAGACATTTAGCCTAGCTGTTAATTTGAGCTTTATTTTGTGCATTCAGTTCCCAGCTGCACCTCCTGACTTTGTAACTTGCAGATCCTGGGAGGCAATAGTGATGCCTCAGTTAATTGGGCCCTCCCACCTACATGGAGAGCTGGAGTATTTTCAGTCCGTTCTAACCCTAAACACTGTGGGCTGTTATAGAAAAAAAAAGTTGTCTTTTTGTGATGAAGTGCTCCTTAGTGTGCTGATTAAATCCTACAAAAGCAATTGACATGTCTTGAATGAGTCAGCTGTACAATCCTGTCAAATTCATTTCCATGTGTCATGTGATAATGGGGAAAAGAGGATTCATAGTCATATGTATAGAACAACATAATGTGACCCTTCTTTATGGATTAAGCTATGTGAAAATGGCTTACTTTAAAGGTTTTGGTAAGCAAATTAACTGAAATAAGATGTTAGAGAAAAGAAAAAGTTCCATAAAGGACACCAACAAAGTATAATGTGAAATAAAGTATACACCCCTTGAGAATTAGGAACGTCCAACTCAAAAGGGATCTGGGCTTTTGGTAAAAGCTAGTGAGTATTCAATCTTCTTTTCCCAAGCAAGCAGGTAGCATAGTTCAATTATTTTTAGAATTCACAATATTCTTTAAAGTAATGATGAAAAGATAGACTGTAAAAACAGAGCAAAATTGTCCACTTAAAATATATTACCTAGCAACTGAGATTCATCCTTCTAGAAAGAAAGTTCCAGCAAGGGGTAAGAGAAATGCCAGTCTTAAATACTGCTCTGCTGACTTGGGTTTTTTTGTTGGGCTAGGTCTCCGCACCCTGGAATCCTCCTACGGTACTCCTAGGTCATTTTCAAGAAGTCACATCTGTGTGCTGGTGTCCAGCTGACTTCACAAAGGTATGTAAACAAGGCTGTGCACTTGTTTAAAAAATAAATCACTAGGGCTGGTGTGATATAACGAGTAGAAAGCACAGCCTGTAATGGCAGCATCCCAAATGAGTACCAGTTTGAGTCCCAGCTGCTCCACTTCCATTCCAGCTCCCTGTTAATGTGCCTAAGAAAGCAGTAAAAGATGGACCCCTATACCCACATGGTAGACCTGAGGGAAATGTCTGGCTCCTAATTTTGGTCAGTCCCAGTCTTAGGTACCTTGGCCATCCTAAGGTTTTGTTTGGGACTCCTTTGTGATGGAGACTTTGATATTAAGTAGAAATATAAAGGGTCTAGAGGTCTTCTGGGGTCTTTATCAACATTACTTACATATGGTCTGTACCAACTGAGAAGTTGCTGCAGTTCTGTACCAATTGAGAACGTGTTAAGAACTGAAGAGTCATTGCTTTCACAAGTACAAGGTGAAAATTTCGTGCTAAAACACTAACATGATAACTAGTGTTTTGTTTTCCACGTCCTATTAATATGGTATGTAATAGATGACAGCTGTTCTTCACAATACAGTTTGGGTTTTCACATGTCACCATGGTTACTGTGAAGCCTTTTTATTTTTCTTTGCAATTTTTAAATAGTGGACTATATTATGTGAAAAACTTAATCTGGAAAGGCCAGAAGCAAATTTAGATGTTTCATATAAAAGTAGACCAGGCTCTACACAGTCTGCCAAACTCTTCGAGTTTTTTCCTTACAAGAAGTCTCACTTAGTTGAGCGCTCCGTATCATACCATGCTTTGAGATTTGTCACCTATTGTTCTCATCTGTCTGTTATTGTAAGCTTTTCCCTGCTGGCTTTCCAGTAGTGCTTGGATTTCTGTTTATTTTCCTAATACTGTTACCATTTCTGTGGGCAGCCTCATGGCAGACCTTCCTCTTTTGTTTCTTTTTAAATCTTTACTTTAATCATCCATAATTGCATGCTGTGGGGCATTTGTTCCCTCAGAGATTCCATATAATTTCCAGTGAAATATCTGTTTCTAATGTGGAATATTGCCTCTTCATGGAACTTACTAAGATGAATGGCTTTTGAATACACACGATTGTCTTTTTTCATTTTTGACATATAACAGTGGTTTTTGTGAAAAATGACAGAAGAAACTGCAAAGCTCTTTACCTACACTAATTTAAATCTCCTAAATCATTTTGTCCCAGACATAGGATTAGGGACGCAGAGCATGGCTGGTTAGTTTTTTGTTGTTGTTGTTGTTTGTTTTGTTTTTTGAGAGAAAGTGATCTGCCTTTGGAATAAGAGGAACTAGGATTTGAATTCCAGCTCTTGCACTTAACCCTGGTGACTTTGGGCAAATAACTTTGTTCTTGCTTTGTAGCTGAGGTTTGAGTATAGTCATTTCTACTGTAAGAACAGTATGAATAATGTGAGTTGTAGGTGCTGTGTTAATAACTATTGTTAATAGACTATCCAGAGACTCTGGCATTCTGAGCATTCTTGTTTGGCAGTTGGATATGTGTATCGTCTTTTGGCCTCCCAGTAAGGAGAGGAAAAACTGCCAGTCTCTTGGGGGCCAAAACTAAAGAGAACGTGTGTTCTTTTTTTCTCTCTCTCTTTAGTGACTGAAATAGAGAAATTATATAAACAAATGCTGGGGAACAGCTTTGTACCAGTGGCCATTTGCCACAAGCTCTTCAAGCTGGATTTTCTCTGCCATAAAAGGCTTGGGACCAAGATCAGGAATAGCCAGATGTTTTTAAAGGGGCAAAGGTTATTTTTAACTTCTTTCAGCCTGGTGTACTCGTTGTTTTTCCCCAGATTGCTCTTTTACCTATCTGAAAAAGAATCTCAAAGGAATGCTTTCATTTTGATTGTCATGGCTAACTAAAGTCAGGAGCCAAGTCCAGTCTTGCAAATGATCTGATTACTTTTCCAATAAATTAGAACAGGTAGAATTCAGTAGGTACAGAAATTGAATGTTGGTCATGTACATTGATCACTTAACAGAAAGAGAATAAACAAAGGTAAAATTTGTTGTTTTACTCTTACATATGTTGATAGACGCAAGTCCTTAAAGAACAAAATGAAATAAGTCTGGGTTTATGGTAGAGAAAATCAGCTTTACTTTTTTAAATAAATTATTTACTTGCTTGTATTGGAAAAGTAAATTTATGGAAAGATCTTCCATTTGTTGGTTCACTCTCCAAATGGCTGCAACAGCTGGAGCTGGACCAGTCTGTAGCCAGGAGCTTCTTCGGGGTCCCCTGCACGGAGAGCGTCCCAAAGTCTTGAGCCATCCTCTACTACTTTCCCGGGCCACAAGCAGGGAACTGGATGGGAAGGGGAATAGCCAGCACTCTGAACTGGTGCCCATATGAGATATTGCTGCCATGACACCAGTCCAAAAATAAACTTCTTTTAAAATTTGAGAAATTTTCTGTAAATAAAACTATTTTAATGTCTTTCAGCTATTACTGTCTATCCCATTAAATTAAACAACTAATTTCCTGCTCATGAATCTTTAAGATAAGTGTGTTTTTATTTAATATTTGATCACAACTTATAAACTTTCTTCCTGGTTCTCCTTTTTAGATTGCTACCTGCTCTGATGACAATACACTAAAAATTTGGCGTCTACATAGAGGCTTAGAGGAGAAACCAGGAGGAGATAAACTTTCCGTAGTAGGTTGGGCCTCTCAGAAGAAAAAAGAGGCAAGAGCTGGCATAGGTAAGGGTATCGTGCATTTTCTGTTGTTTATGATTTAATTGGTATAGTCCTACAGTACATATTGGTAAGCCAGATTGGATCTTATTTTCATGTATTTTTAAAGAAAAACACTATAGTCTTCGCATCCTTTTCAATCACTTTATGAGGACTTTTATCATCTACACAAAGCATTGAAACTCAAAGTATTTCTTGGATACCTACTATTTCCTGGACATTGTTCTAAGAGCCTGAGGATTCAACAATAGAAAGAATCAAAAATCCCAAAGATGTAGATAACATGAGAGGGAATAAGATAATGAATTTAAGTGTAACATGTCAAATAACAATAATTATTTAGAAGAATTAGGCAAGCAAGAAGGGAAGAAAGACATGAAATGCTTTTAAAATTTTATATTAAGAAATTTGGGAAGAATTCCTTTTAAAATTTACTTTCTTTTTATTTATTTGTAAGATTTATTTAATTTATTGAGAGAGTAGAGATTTTCCATCTGCTAGTTCACTCCCCCAAGTAGCTACATTGACCAGAGCTAAGTTGATCAGGAGCCAGGAACCTCCTCCAGGTCACCCACATGGGTGCAGTCTACCAAGGACTTTGGCCATCCTCTTGTGCTTTCCCAGACCATAAGCAGGAAGCTGGAAGGGAAATGGAATGGCCAGGACGCAAACCAGCACCCATATGGGATGTCGATGCTTTCAGGTGGAGGATTAACCAGTTGAGCCATTGCAACAGCCCCCTTCATTTACTTGAAAGGCAGACATGTAATAGGTCATCCATCCACTAGTTGAATCCCCAAATGCAGAATTCAGTCCCAGTGTCCCACATGGGAGACCAGTTCCTTAGTACTAGAGCATCACTAGGCTGCCTGCCAGGTTGCACATTAGCAGGAAACTACAAGAGCCAGTCCTTGGGCTCAGTGTGGTGGCCTAGCTGCTAAAGTTCTCGCCTTGAATGCACTGCAATCCCTTTCGGCACTGGTTCTAATCCTGGCAGCTCCATTTCCCAGCCAGCTCCCTGCTTGTGGCATGGGAAAGCAGTTGAGAATGGCCCTAAGCTTTGGGACCATGCACCTGCATGGGAGACCTGGAAGAAGTTCCAGGCTCCTCGCTTCAGATCAGTGCAGCACCAATCATTGTGGTCACTTGGGGAGTGACTCATCAGATGGAAGATCTTCCTCTCTGTCTCTCCTCCTCTCTGTATATCTGACTTTGCAATAAAAATAAATAATTCTTTAAAAAAAAAAAAGAGCCAGTCCTCATCAACATGCTGAGATAGGATATGGGCATAGCAACTGGCATCTTAACCACTGTACCAAACGGCCTGACTCAGTGGTGGCTTTTGGGTACAGAAAATGAATTGGTAGGCCATGTGGATATTTTGGAGGATATTGTAAGTATACAAAAATAGCAGATGCAGGAGCAGACAAAGTGGTGAGTCCTGCATCTCATGCTGGAAAGCCTGGGTTCTAACCCCTCTCTGCTGCTTACAGTTCATCTTAGTCATGATATGCACCCGAGATGGCAGTAGGTGAGAACTCAAATATTTCACTTCTTGTCACCTACATGGAAGACCCAGATCGGGTTCCAGACGGAAGACTTCAGCCTGGCCCAGCCCTAGCTGTTGAAAGCATTTGACCTGTGAACCAGTGGCTAGAGAAAAAAAAGCCATTGAAATGATGGTGACTTGGGCCAGAGTGGTAGCAGAAGATAGGATGGTAAATCATCAAACTAGTCAATTTACGGGATAGAACCAAGAAGATACACTGAGAGGTTAGATGTGGAATTTGAAGGAGAGTTTGAAAAGATGGCCTAGACTTTCTGCTTGAGAAGCTAGCAGGATGTAATTTCATTGACTTAGATAGGAATCCCTGCAAAAACAACAGGTTTGGGAACCATCACCTTGAGTTCTGTTTGGATTTTTTTAAGCGTCTAAAATGTGGATGACAAAGAAGCATTTTAATGTTTAATTCTGCAGTTCAGGTGGAGATAGCTGTAGATGAAAAAGTTGTGAGTCTAAGGGCTGACCCAAGGGGCACTGGAGTGTTAAGAATTTCAGGAAGTGACACATATTGTTAACCAGAGAAGTAAGCAAAAAAGCAGGAGGCTGCAATTTCCAGGAAGCACAGTAAATGAAAGAAGAGAGGGGGTGAATTTAAAGATTATTTTTATTGGAAAGTCAGATCTACAGAGAGTAGGACAGACAGTAAGCTTTGGTAGGGGGTGTTGTTGATTTTAATCAGATGTTTCTCGTAAGGAAGAGGATGAAGTCTACAAAGTCTGACCTTTGCTGTTGGCTTTGTGGAGGGGCAGGGCTTGGCAAACTTCATGAGAATGAGTTTTATTGAAGAGGTAGTGGCTTTATTGGTGGCATTCGGGACAAAGGGAGAAAAGAAGTTGGAGACTGCAAGTGTAGATAGCTCTTTCAAGAAATGTTGCTATAAGCAGTAGCAAAGTTTTGAGTATTTTGTTCTAGTCTTTTTTAAAAGTGAGGGGTAGCTTTTTTTTTTTTAATTTAGTTGGAACGCTCCAATATGGAGGTGGAATGCTGATTCAAGGAAATTTGATGATGCAATGTCCTTGAGTGAGCATTACTGTCATTTGAGTGTTCCTTTGCAAGAAATGTGGATAATTGATTCGTAATAATTGGAGAGAGGACATAGTAGAAGTATATAAGCACAGAGGCTGGCAATGGAGCGTAACAGGCTAGTCCTCCACTGTTGGTGCTGGTGCCAGTTTGTTTCCCGGCTGCTCCACTCCTGATCTAGCTCTCTACTTATGGCCTGGGAAAGCAGCAAAGAGTAGCTCAAGTCCTTGAGACTGCCACCCACATGGAAGACCTGGAAAAAGTTACTAGCTCCTGGCATGAGCTCCAGCCATTGTAGCCACTTAGGCAGTTGAATTAGCAGACGGAATCTCTCTCCTTTTCTCCGTAAAATCTGCCTTTCAGATGAAAATAAATCGTTTTTTTAAAAATGTATATAGCACAATGAAACTAAGTAGACAGATGGGATGGTCAAAACTGTGGCAGTTTCCTTCTGTTCTGATTGGTGGCTTTATTCCCTTGGTGAATACACATACAGGTATGTGATCAACTAAGAATAAGAATTAGCAGGAAGCTGGTAGAGATTTGAGGAAAGAGTCTGAAATAATTGTTTACAAAATAGAAAGCAGACCAGAAAAATAGCATCATTGAGCATGAAGAGTCAGCTAAAGAGTTAGTACTGTGTGTGGGTCAGGAAGACACATGAGAAAGACATAGACTCTGAAGATAGATGCAAGAGAACAATGGTGATTGAGTGTGGGATTTGGTATGGTTAGGGAGGGGAGTGAGGACCTCGTGGGACATGAAGAGTTGGTAAAAATAGATTGAGGACCCCTAAAGAGGAAAAATTGTTGGAGTTAGAGCACCAAACTGGAAAAGTAGATGGTGAACTCAGTGGTGTGATAGAAATTAAGATAATATCGGATTTTCATGTATTGGTAATGTCATTCATAAGAAGGTGCTGTGGTGGGTGAAAGGACAGTTGTGACAGGCAGAGGTCAAGAAACTGAGAACCCTGCAAATTGGAAAAATGTTTGTGCTACCATGAGTGGAGAGGGATTGTGTTGGAGAATGGGAAGTCTGCAATGCTGAGTCAGAAAAAGGTATTGCTCAGTAAAAAACCCCCAAGATAATTGCAGAGGGGAGACAGCAAGTATGTAGACTCATTTTCTTAATCATTTTGTCAGCATGAGAGGCAGAACTAGGCTTCAGAGGAGACATACTAATCCTAATCTGCTGTGAAGTCCTTGTTGTCATGCTTATTACTGTCTTTAAATTTTTAAAATTTTATTAGTGCTAGCAGTTTAATAAATCAGCTCGTTCTACAGGGCTAGTAGACAGCAATCCCAGATCCTCTGCCCCACAATTTCTAGAATATTTCCAAAACTCTCAAAAGGAATTCCAATTTGACCATATCCTTGTCCACTACTATTGTTATGTCCATATGGCTTTGTAGACATGAATCGGTATATCATTGTGATTCTGATGTATATCTTCCTGATACCCAGTGAAGTTGAGCGTCTTTTTCTTGTGCTTATTGGTTATTTATGTATTTTCTTTAGCAAAATGCATCTGAGTTATTATTCACTTGACATATAAATCTTTTTTCCTTTTGTTTTTCATTTTTCTAATTTATTTGAAAGGCAGAGTTGGAGAGAGCTCTTCCATCCAAGGCTCACTCATCAGATGGCCCCAATGGCCAGAGCTGAGCCATCCTCTGCTGCCTTACCAGGTGCATTAGTAGGTAAATGGATAAGAAGTGGAGCAACCAGGTCTCGAACCAGCACCCATATGGGATGCCAGCACTGTAGGCATGAGCTTAACCTATTACACTACAGCACCAGGTCCAGTATTTTTATTTGAGATGTCTTCTCATTTTCTTGATGGTGTCTCATGACACAGAGCTAAGATTTTGTGTTTGGCTCAGTGTTTCAGCTGCTGCTTTGAACTTCACATTGTATATCAGTGCTTCAGTTCAAGCCATAGGTTTGTTTCCAGTTCCAGCTTCCTGCTAGGGTACATCCTGGGTGACAGCAGGTCATTGCTCGAGTGAAAGACCCAGACTCAGTTCCAAATCATTGGCTTCAGCGCAGTGCAGCCTCGGCTGTTGTGAGCATTTAGAGAATAAAACAGCAGTTGTGTCTATCCATCATAGCCTTCTCTGCTTTTCCTCTGTTTGTGCTGTTAATGTTATATCAGAGAAACCATTGCCTGCGTTGCCTGTCCCAAGGGCACAGAGATTGGCTTGTGTTCTGTGTAGGGGATTTTTGGTCTTAGGTTTATGATGATGCATTTTGAATTTATCTTTGTGTGACTAGATATACTATTGCATGTGGATATTTGCTTTCTTATCATTTTGTAGAGATTATTCTTCACCCTGTTGGATTAAAATTTATTTTGGAGTGGGAAAAACTCAAAATCTATGGATAACAGGGAGATTTAAGATGCTCATGGAAACACA